AAAGGGCTGGGCCAGATGAGGAACTTGTCCAGCTGACAGCCTGGCTAGGCCCAAAATCCGTAATCACAGTGAACAACAACTTCGCATCCCATCTGGGCAACCCTGACATCGGCCTTGCAAAGACTTGGGCCGCACTTGACAAGGACTACGGTGAACCCACAGTGATGGAGTCCTCGCTCCTGGACCACGTTCTCAGTTTCCCCAACATAAGAATCAACGAACGTCAGGAGCTGAAGACATTCTCGTCGCTCATTACTCAACTACAGACAGCACAACAGGATCCTACCTTGCCGGGATTAGCTTGCCTTGACCTGTTCAGGACACAAAATCCTATCATCCAAAAACTACCACGATTGATATGTGAACAATGGATCGAGTTTTCTCGGGCTTACAGGAAAAGCAACCAAAACAAAATCCCCCCCTTTACGCTTCTCGCTGATTTTATCAGTGACCAGGCTGACCTCTACAATGACCCCCTATACCTCTCCATCAGAGAAGTACACTTTCCAATGACCAAGTGAAGCAGTCAACACTCTGATGTAGTCAAGGGACCCGTCCAAGCTACGAAGGACAGAACCACTTTTTCAATGTACAAAACAGACATCACGCCTAGCCCAAAGAAGTCTCCAGACGAACGAATACCGAAAAGTGTTCATTTGAACCCTCGTCCAACTAAAAAAGGCCTGACTTGTCCAATTCACAAGTCCTCACACTCTCTAAATGATTGCAGAGAATTTAGGAAAAAATCACTAGATGACCGAAAGACCCTACTCAAAGGGAATAGGATATGTTTCAAATGCTGTGACTCCATGGAGCACATGGCCAAAGATTGCACAGCTAGAGTGAAATGCCACTTGTGTGACAGTAACAAGCACCCAGCAGCCTTACATCTAGAAACTAAGAAGCCCTCTGAGGAGACACAACAAGCGACTTCGACGACGGAGACTCAAACTGACTCCGAAGAGCAGCCAAAACAGTACGGGACGTACTACACAGATATATGTGGCGACTCACCATGCCCTCCTTCATGCTCACCCGTCTGTCTTGCAAAAGTCTACCCCGACGGGCAACCTGAAAAGGCAGTAAAGATGTACGCCATACTAGAGCCACACAGCAAAGTTACTATAGCTAAGCCTGCCTTTTTCGACCTCTTTGACCTCCCGAGTGAACTGAAGCATTTTGCAATAAATATGTGCACATCACCAATGCGCACGGCGGGGAGGAAAATCACTGGTCTACGCATAGAAGCGATAGATGGAAGTTCACATTTCCGGTTACCATCAGTGTTGGAATGGGAGACCTTACCAGATGTCCGCAGCGAAATCTCAACACCAGAGGCGGCAAGGAAAATACCTCACTTAGCACACATAGCTGATTTAATCCCTCCTCTAGATCCTGAAGTTGAAATCCTACTCATGGTGGGAAGAGACGCCCCAGAGTCCATTGGCTCCGATGAGAGAATCAAAGGTCCACCAGGAACCCCAGTAGCCATTAAAACGGAACTCGGATGGGCCATAGGAAGGACAGTTTGTGTTGATCAACCGCAAACCCCAACCCAGGTGAGCATCTCAAAAACCTCCATTCCCAGTAATGGAACAGCACCTCACCTAAAACCACACCTAGAACACTGCGTGCTCGTGACAACCAAACCTGCTTTGGAAGCAACAGTGTTCCAGACCAGTCAGAATCACAACAACTTAGCCTTGTCCATAGAGGACAAACAAGACAAACAACGTCTGCAAGACCGGGAGTCATGGAGTGTACTTCTAAGATGTCTCCAGAGTATGCAAGTGCAGTGCATGTATGTCTCCAGCTCACCTGCCACAGTGCAAAAGAAAGAATTGTATGCTTCCTTAGATGTGTCAACGAAGGCAAATGCAGCCTTAAGACGCGTCACAGTCTACAGCGCGGAGAGCCACACTTACGTCTTCTTGTTTGCAACCATAAGATACATCAGAGTCTACAGCGGGGAGAGCTGCAGTCTCGGTGTCTTCTTTGGAAAAGTGAGACTAACAATGCAAGAAGGCTACACTGTACCAAGGTTAGAACTATGTGGTACCACTTTGGCTGTAAAGCTCACCAACTTGACAGCGAAGACGTTGTGCCTTGAACTACAGTCTACCACCTTCTACGCAGACAGCAAGGAGATGTCAAGCTACATCTGCAAACAAAGCAGACATTACTACGTCTATGTAGGCAACAGAATGAAGAGAATTGAAACATCTTTAAGCCCTGAACAATTGCAACATGTGCTAACAGATAAGAACTTTGTGAACCAAGTGAAGTGGCCCAACCTTGCCACACAGTTAACAGAATTGACCTGGCTAGAAAGTCTTGAGTTCTTGGTCTACCCAAACAGACAAATGCCACAGAGACCAAAATGCTACGCAATTCCAGCTCCAGACCAACGTGCCAACCTTCAACTTCAGGCACCCAATAAACATCAACCAATCCGCTTCAAATCCCTGTCTAAGCGGAAGCACCTGAGATTAGGCATAGTTTTGATCATCTTGATCACTTGTCTTAGTATCCCAAGAATTTACCTTAAAGAAGCCTGCAAGGACCTACAGACTATTGGAGACATTTGCCATGATCCAGTGATTGACAAATGTCTGAAAGCCAAAAATTGCCTTCCCCACGCATCTAACATGGGCGAAGCGCGCATAGGCGAAGCGTGGGAACACATGATTGGTGCACCCCGCAAGATCATGGACTCTATGTCGTTAAAGACACCCACACCCACACATGAAGTCCTCACTACCCTGATGACAACAGTAGCAGCCATCTTCAATACTCCATCGTTGGTTCCAGATCCTTTGGTTCTTGAGTATCCTGAGTCTTCTGCAGCTGCTGTTGTTCCTGATTCTTCAGTTCCAGCTGATGTTCCTGATTCTTCAGTTCCAGCTGTTGTTCCTGATTCTTCAGTTCCAGCTGTTCCTGAGTTTCCAGCTCCAGCTGTTCCTGAGTTTCCAGATGTTCCTGATCTTGATTCTTCAGCCCCAGCTGTTCCTGTGTTTCCAGATCCAGCTGTTCCTGTTTTTCCAGGTTCTTCAGTTCCTGAGTATCCTGTGAATCCAGTTCCCTTTGTTCCTGAGAAATTTTGGGTTCCAGTTTTTCTATTCCAGATTTGGTTCCAGTTTCCTTTACAGGAAAAAGACCTTGTCTCGCTAAGAGGCAAGAACGCATACCAGGACTATTGGCCCATGGGACCTGCACAACCCACCCAGTTGATGAACTACTTTGCCAAGCTGAGGTCCAGATCGGGAAGCCACGTGAGTCAGGTCATGACTCAAAAACTCTTGTACCAGGCTGATCACCGATTTGGTCTCGTTGCTGATGAAGACTGAACCAGATCAAACCTCAAATTATGTATTGTGTTTATGCATTGTTTCATGTAACACTTGCTTGTTTTTTGTATAATTGTGCATGTTTTATATTTACCAATAGTTATGCACGTTTGATACCAAGTTTTTACCTATTTAGTCACAAGTTAGTTAACAATGAGTATTGCATGTCTTAATGCTATGCTTTTTTGCTATTTCAGCTAGTTAGTAGTGGAAATATAAATTTCCAAGCGGGGAGTGTTCTGGATCATATAGATCTATGCAACTCTAACTAGAGAGCATGTATCAGTATGATAGAATACCTGGCAGTTATTGGGTTAAAGCCTCGGTTTGTTAATAGCTCAGTGGGAGGAGTTTCTACAGGGCATTGGGAGACTTCCTGGACACAAGCCACATGGGAATGCCTTTGTTCATCCAGCTCATGGCTTCCAGCCACACGGCTGGAGATCTCATGATTATGCCAACATGTGATGCTTAGGCAGAAGTAGAGGGGAAAGTCCATCATCAATTTACCTGTGGAACAATCCAATATCGCTAAACATATTTTGGACATATCTCTACAATACTGTAAGTCATTGTTTAGGATTCCCAGAATAAAGCAATATTTTCTGTTTGTTCCTCTGAGTTAACTATCTGTCCCGGATTGGAATAAAGCCATATTTCCTGTCTAGGGCAGAATAGTGGGGTCTGTGAAAAATTCAACCTTAGCAATTGTTGTCTCCATATTGATGACAGTGGCAAGGTCATTGAAGAAATCACAGACAGAATGCGCAATGTTGGAGGATGGTTTTCGGGTATGTTTGATAATTGGAAAAGAATCCTGTTTATTGTGGGATTGGCCTTTGCAGGATTGTTGTGCTTACCATGCCTTATTCCGCTTATTCAAAGAATTGTTCGGTCCACTATATCTGGATTGACTTTTGCTGCTACTCCTGTTTTTAACGATAAACCTGCTAAAGCTATGGTTTTAAGACCTTTACCTTCTGATTATACCCCCCTTTTCCAGGGTTCTTAGTGCCTATTCGGCTTTTATATTAAAAAGGGANGTCATCATCTAGGAATTATTTTTTTGTGCCATCTTATGCCTAGTACCAAGACCTGATCTTTTTGTTCTGGAAAGGTATAAAAGGTGGAAGACATCTTTTCTGCTTGCTTGCCTTCATTCCTCTACCAGCCACGAAGAGGAATCAGGCAGCCCCTCTCTGTTTTGATCAAAATAAAGTTGTAATCTTTGTTGAAACCTCATCTCAGGAGTTTCTTTGGCTCTTTTAAATTCCTGAGTAACGCTGGGGCAATTGTGAGGCTAAGTGGAAAACCTTACACACCTTTGAGAACTTTATAAGTTGGATGATCCCTTCCAACAGCAAGTGTCTTTTCTTCCTTTAACCCTGCCAAATCCTATATAATGAGAAGGGGGGGGACCTCAGCTGTACTCAGTTAAAACCATATAATTTCCTAAATCAAAATGTTCAGGAAATTAAGCCAAGAGGATAAATCCCTAGCAGCTTCTGATGCGCCTTTCTTCTTGCGCTTGGAGGTCAGCCAATACTAGTAATACACCCAGGAGTTTCCCCTCCTTATGAATGGGTATCAGTCCACTCGAGAACAAAGGTATAGTGTGCCAAGACATCTGTTGATCCTTCTGGAAAACAGACTTCAAGGAAGGTGACAGAAATAGTTGTGGACAGAGATAACAATGGCTCCTGAGAGTGAGATGCCCAAAGTGTCAGCTATGCAAGCTACTCCCATGGCAAATTCTCGATGTTCCGGCTTGCTCTGCATGGAGGAAAAGAGAAAAAAAATCATATTTCTCTGCTGTGACATTGGATGTGGGTTTCTGTTCTCCCTCCAAAGTGCAATACTGTACACAGCTTACTTATGGCTGTTTTACATGTGGCAGATTACTGTTCTTATATGGTGTGTTTGACTAGGGTTTAGTATAAGATGTGAACCAGGCCACTGCAGCTTAGGAACTCTATTTTTAACCAGCCATGGCTTAGTCTATATCAGCGGTTCTCAACCTGTGGGTCACGACCCCTTTGGGGGTCGAACGACCCTTTCACAGGGGTCGCCTAAGATCATCGGAAAACACATATTTCCGATGGTCTTAGGAACCGAGACACTGCCAAAGCTGCCGCCGCCGCCTCAGGAACGTGCAGTGGACGAGCCAAGGAAAGGAACTGAATGAGGAGAGGTGGCGTGCCCGCCTGCGTGTTTGTGTGTGCATTTGTGTAGAGTCGCTATTTTCAACTCCCAATATTACGAAGAAAAAAAAAGATTGACGTGAATAAAATGTGGTGGAAGACAAGCGCTGTGTGTGTGTGTGTGTGCGCGCGCGCATGGTGTTAATCATATTCTTTCCCTCGTCACGCGCCTTGAGCCGTGACGCCAATAACCGTCTGCTCTCAGTTCGTGACAAGCGGGGCTCTTCTCTCTTTTTCCATCCCTGCTTCGAGCGAAACGTTGAAAACCGTACGACACCGAGAGGCCCGCGTCCCGCTGGCAAGGCTCATGGGAAGCGCCAGGATCAGCACCCCTTTCTGCCTGATCGGTGCTTCTCCGAGGCCGGGAGAGCTCGGCCCCTTTCCGCCTGATCGGCGCTTCTCCGAGGCCGGGAGAGCTCAGGGGAAGCGCCAGGATCAGCGCCCCTTTCTGCCTGATCGGTGCTTCTCTGAGGCCGGGAGAGCTCGGCCCCTTTCCGCCTGATCAGCGCTTCTCCGAGGCCGGGAGAGCTCAGGGGAAGCGCCAGGATCAGCGCCCCTTTCTGCCTGATTGGCGCTTCTTCCGGAGCTGATCCTGGTGCTTCTCCTGAGCCCCGAAGAAGCACCAATCTCCTGGAAAGCGGCATTGATCCCGGTGCATCTGCTGAGCCCTGAAGAAGCGCCTATCACCTGGAAAGCAACATTGATCCGGGCCAGCGCACTCACACACACACAAACACGTGCGAGCAGTTACAGCTGAAGGCGTTTCAGCCTTCAACTATGGCTCCCAGTCCTCTGGCGCCTCATTGGCTCAGGCCAGTTGTCCATCAGAATCTACGTCCCATGATTGGCTGGCTCCCTCAACGCGTCCCTCCCTTGCAGAAAGGGTTTGGCTCTTCATGCCAGCTTGCCCCCTCGTGGGGCTCCTGATACTGTAGGCCCCGCTAGCCGGGAAGGCGCACCGGAGTCCTGGCTGCCGGTAAGGTGATCGACCCACTCCTCTCCCATTGCCCACTCTCCCCGGCTCGAGCCTGGCTGGAGCAGCCTTGGTACTTCCAAAGGTGGCCACTTCAAAGTCACACGGGCAGCCCTCGGCCGCTCCCCTCCCCTCCACGCCTCCAAATCGATCCCCAATCGGAGAGAGAGAGAGAGGGAGGGAGGGAGGAAGGGAAGGAGGAAGAGAGGGAGGGAGAAAGAGAAAGAGGGAGAAAGAGAGGGAGAGAGAAATAGAGAGGGAGAGAGAGAAAGGGAGAGAGGGAGGGAGAGAAAGACAAAAGGAGAAAGAAAGAGAGGAAGAGAGGGAGAGAGAAATACAGAGAGGGAGAGAGAAAGAGGGAAAGAAAGAGGGAGAGAGAGAAAGAAAGGGAGAGAGGGAGAGAGAGAAAGAGAGGGAGGGAGAGATAGGGAGAGAGAGAATGAGAGAGGAAGACAGAGAGGGAGACAGAAAGGGAGAGAGAGAAAGGGAGAGAGAGAAAGAGAGAGAAAGAAAGGGAGAGAGGGAGAGAGAAATAGAGAGAGGGAGAGAGAAAGAGGGAGAGAGGGAGAGAGAGAAAGGGAGAGAGGGAGAGAGAAAAAGAAAGAGATAGAGAGAGAAAGAATGAGGGAGAGAGAAAGGGAGAGAAAGGGGGAGAGAGAGAAAGAAAGAGAGAGAGGGAGAGAGAGAGAGAAGGAGAGAGAAATAGAAGGGGAGAGAAAGGGAGAGAGAGGGAGAGAGAAAGAGAGAGGGAGAGAGAGAAAGAAAGAGGGAGAGAGAAAGAGGAAGAGAGAGATTAAATTAGTAACATGGTTGTTAAGTGAATCTGGTTTCCCAACTGACTTTGCTTGTCAGAAGGTTGCAAAAGGTGATCATATGATCCTGGAACAATGTGACCATAATAAATATGAATCAGTTGCCAAGCATCACATGACCCTGGGGATGTTGCAACGGTCATAACTGTGAAAAATGGTCAGAAGTCACTTTTTTCAGTGCCGTTGTAACTTTGAACAGTCACTAAGCAAACTGTTGTAAGTCAAGGACTACCTGTACTTTATCACTTTTTTCCATTTTTGGGGGGGGGGGGGTGTCAAGTTTTTGACACCTCGCTAGGTGACTTGTGGTACTCGAATGTTGCCATATTCTAAAAGTGGTACAATCGGTGAAAAGGTTGAAAAGCCCTGATCTAAATAATATTATCAGTAGGAGTGAATCCACTGTTTTTCCAACAAGATTGGAAATACTTTTATTTTTAATGTGATGGTGTAATAAATTCTAATCCAGGAACTCTCAGTTTCATTGCTTAATTTTCTTTCCATCTTACTGCTTATCTTCAAACCCAGTTTGTTTTTGTGATTAATCACTATGCTTTAATTATGTTCAATTTGTAACAATGAAAATACATCCTGCATATCAGATATTTACATTATGATTCATAACAGTAGCAAAATTACAGTTATGAAGTAGCAACAAAAATAATTTTATGGTTGGGGGTCACCACAACATGAGGAGCTGTATTAAAGGGTCGCGGCATTAGGAAGGTTGAGAACCACTGGTCTATATGAAGCCAACCACAGATGCTAGTATTTTGCACAAGTGATTGCTGGATGAATTAGGTTCATTGAAAGTATTGAAGCAGAAGTTGGGTATCCAAATATCCAAGTCTCCAAAGAAATTAACTGTTCCTTCCAACTTGAAGATTGTCCCCTGGCTGAAATGCCCAGTTCTCCCCATTTGCAAAACAAGTAATGAAAATGCTTGTTTTATCCTATACTGGTTAAAGAGGACCACTGAGTTTGTTTGCAGAGAAACCCTGCAAATTCTTGTAATGATCCCATCTTTTATTCCAGGTGTGGGTAACCTTCTGGTAAAGGGCCACAACTTATGGTTTTTTGACCAGCTGGTGAAAAGGCCCCTACAAAACAGACTAGATCTGGGAAGTTGCTTTGAAAGCTTTTAAAAGGCTATATTTAGAGCCTATGCTACAATTCTGATGTGTTTCCTACTTAAAATGGGGTGGGGTGATGTGGAAACTCTCTGGCCAGTTTTAAGGTATTATGGCCAGCAGGATGTCAAGGATTATGAAAAAAGGGCAATGCAGTGTCATAGAATGTTTATATTAGTTCTACACATTGAAGCGTGAGATGATGCTCTCCTCTATCCACCCAACATATGACTGTTCTTCCATCTTTCCAATCCCACCTCTTCCTCTTGCTTCTCCCCTCAAACTCACCTCTTCGCTGACACAATGGAAAGTGTTCACATAGCCAGCTCCTCCCAGCAATCCCTCATACAATATCAGCACGAAAACCACATGGATGCTGGGTAGAAACAGGTAGCGCACGGCAAACAGGAGAAACACCATATTCAGGCACTTGAGGGAGAACAGAAGAAAATTAGCCTGGTAAAACAGTAGCAATTGTCTGGAAGCCAAATCATAGACAAGAAATAGTTTAAAGGGTGGCAGGTCACAGATTATTCAAATAGAGGCTCACTGGCTTCTTTTCTGTTCTTAATCAGTCCTTGTTCTCAGGTTTTTAAAATCAAGCATCTTTCGCAGATAGTAGCAGCTTAGGCTCCTGATGAATCCCTCTTGGCTGATTTTTACAAGTATTTTATGATGTTAACAGAACGTCGAATTGTTTACGGTAGTCAGATTTTGTTATTTTTTTGTTTGCCTGATGCAAACCTCCTTCAGCCTATGAAAGTAGGCAAAATATAAATAATTCTGATACATAAATACAAAGCAAGTGGGAGGAGCGGAATAAATGTAACAGTCAAGAGAGGATCTGTTTTAAGCGGATGAGAAGGAATCATTCAATGGAGAAGAAGGGGAAATGTTGGTGAGGGAAATTTTTACCTGCAATATAGCCAGAAGCCATATCTTTCGGATTCGTATACAGCTGGCAGAGGAACAGGAAATAAAAACCCCTGCCTGATACAGCATCTGATACCTGCAGAAAGACAGTAGGAATTTGGCTCAAGCCACAATATGGATGGTTATATTGTTACTGCTATATATGAACATACTAACTGTAAATATAAAAAAAATATTCTCTAGACTTATGACCACAACTGGGAGCAGAATTTCTGATGCTAGGCAAAGCGACTGTTAAATGAGTTACACCGGAGTTTACAAATGATTTTTGCCACAGTTGTTAAACAAATAACTGCAGTTGTTAAGTGAAGCATGCAGCTGTTAAGCAAATCCAGCTTTCCCCATTGACTTTGTTCGTCAGAAGCTGGCTGGGAAGGTTGCCAAGGGCGATCACATAACCCTGAGATGCTGCAACAATCACAAATATATGCTGGTTGCCAAGTGATCAAATTTTGATCCGGTGACCATGGAGATGTGGCAACAGTTGTGAAGTGCAAGGACTGACTTTTCTCGATGCTGTTGTCACTTCAAACAGTTGCTCAACAAATGTTTGTAAGTCGAGGATTACCTGTATCTTTTTTCTAGCCTACCAACCTTTCTCACTCAACTAACAATTCATTTTTCCCCCCATTAAGTAACATTCAGACATGGGGTTTAGAGTCTTAACATCTGGAAAGCGCCAAGCACCTTCCCACTTACCAGCGATATTGTTGGGGGTGATTTAAAGTTGTGTTTCGAAAGTACAACAATTCAAACTGGGAAAGAACAATACAGAGAGTAAATGTTAAAAAAGGAAGAGCTAAAAAATGAATCCACACCACCTCCGATAAAGGAATAACTTACCCATTACGCTTACCAGCCCCTGATTGATGAAGTATTCAGCAAAATACACCACAGACAAGGGGATGAGGTATTTCAAAAGACCCCGAAAGAGACAAAGCGAATGAGTTCATTGTGTGAACAGCCAAATTGATTTAAGAAACCATCAGGCCCTTCTTCCTACAAGTAACACCATCATCTACCTAATCATAAGTTGAAAACATCATATTATCTGTGAATGTTTATATATAAATAACACGCAGATAACATAAGAATGGCTTCTGAAAATTCTTATAAATTAAAGCATTACAAAATTAAAGCCAAAAAGTACAGGAAGTCCTCAACTTACCACCACAACTGAGCCCCAAATTTCCATTGTTAAGCAAGACAATTATCAAGGAAATTTTGCCACCTTTTATGACCTTTCTTGCCACAGTTGTTAAGTGAATCACTGCAGTTGTTAAGCTAGCAACATGGTTGTTAAGGGAATCTGGTTTCGCCATTGATGTTTCTTGTCAGAACTTCACAAAAGATGATCACATGACCCCAGGACATTGCAACATCATAAATACATGTTACTTGCAAGCGTTTGAATTCTGATCATGTGACCACTGGGATGTTGCAACGGTCATAAGTGAGAAAATTGGGCATAAGTCACTTTTTCAGTGCCACTGTAACTTTGTATGGTCACTAAATGAATGGTTGTAAGTTGAGGATTTCCTCTATCTTAAAGTACCTAATTACATGGATTATTTGAAGTTCCAGGGAGTATATATTCATGTGATACAGTCCATGGAGAAGGCTGAGATGATGATGTATTAAATTTGTATAGCACCCAAATCTGGGTTCATAGAAGCAGATGTAGTTCAGAGTCATCATCTTAGTAAAGTACATAATTCATTTTTGTTGTGAACTCGGCCTTGCGTGCACAAAGGTTACAATATGCATGATACACATGCACAGAATGTTGCAGCCTATGTTATCACAGAAGGTTGCAACTATAAACGATAATAAAGCATCACAGCTTAAGTATTTTTGATGACAGAAATATAGGGAAATGTTTAAATAAAATGTACCATTGAAAAAACATGAGTTTGAAAGGAAAGAGTTGTATTTATAGTTGATTTCCAGTAGAAGTTAATTATTTGTGTATTGTCCACCTACTGTCCCCAAAATGTGTTTTGATCCAGTCTCTATTTATTATTAAATGTATATTGTTTTTTTTTGTTCAGGATTAAAAGGGGAATACATGGTGTTCCTCCTATTTTTCCTCACAATAACATGCTAATGAGTAAGTTGAGCTGGGAGAAAACAAGTGACCCAAATTCACTCAAGGAGTTTCCATGACAGAGAGAGAAGTAAAACTTGAGTCTCTCTTCTCTTAGTCCAACAGGAGATAGAATATCTGGGAAACATTTCACTTTTAGGTTCACAGGCCTCCCTCTTTTTTTAATCCCCTTTTTCAAAATTAAGATACTTCTAGGTTTTTATTACCCTACCTTATTCACTAATATTTACAAAAGGGATCTAGGTAATATTCTTTCTTCTTGTCTTTTGCTGCCATGTTTTTAATTCACCCCTTTCCAGAGAAAATCTATTAAGAAAAGATTAAATAGCTACACAATATTCTTACGAGAAAACCTAAATTCGCCACAGGTTATCAACTCTTCCTTAGGCACACTCAACATTGATCCCCACTGAACCACCAAAAAGAGCACTTTTACACTTGCACAGCTCAAAAAGTTCTTCCCACCTTCTCTGAGCAGGCTTCTTACCTTGACCACCTCTTCTTTTTCCTGCAAGGTGAGCTGAGGTTTTTGTGTCACTGGAGGAGGGAGACAACAATTGAAATTATAAGAATGGCATTGTATTTTCCTCTGAGAAGTGTTGCAGAAACACACAAAGCTGGGGGGAAGCACACAGTCAAAGTGTGCCCTGATGTCAACTGAGTGGTTGTGGAAAATGGAGATAGTCCTCGAGCTATGACTGATTGCTTAGCGACTGAAATTCTGACAGACCTGCTTGGGGGAAACTTATGATCTGAATTTGAAGTTCTGATGTTCAAGGCTCCTCAGTGATGTGACCGCATTTTGGGTGCTTGGCAACCAGGTTGCAGCATCCCACAGTCATGTGACTGCATTTTACGATGGTTTTGTCAAAAAACATCATTTTCTTCCAGATTTCAGCAAAACCGCATCCATCTCATACCACTGATTTGCTTAATGACTATGTTTGCTTAACAACCAAACTGATTCACTTAACAACTGCTGCAACACCCCCCCCCCCCGAAAATTGGGTTGGTCACATGACTGACCCATTTTACAACCATCACAAGTTACAACTGTGATGGGCAGGCTCCATTAGGGTTGCAATTTGAGGACTAACTGTGTTTGGTTTGATTTGGAACATGGGAGCTTTAAGGAAAGAAATAGTTGTCCTAAGCAACAAAGGTTTAGTACCCACCCACCCCAATGTTGTGCCTTAAAACCTACTACTCCTCTCCAAATATTGGGGGCACCGGGCAGGAGTTTCAAAAGAGGCTTCACAGTGTGGATGCATGCAGTCTGCCCGTACTTAATAGAAAAGATGACAAGATTTATGATAAAATTGTTCCTTGCCTTTGGCCTGAGCAGAGGGCATCACAGTTAAGGATGTAGCAGGAGCATTTTTCAGAGAGGAAAGATTTCAGAAGAACATGCATTATGGATCACGCTTCCCTCTTTTGAGGTCATGGGAGGCATTCACACAAAAGTCACTTACTTTGAGGGAGTGTCAATTTCTCCCCGAGAAGAGGCTGATGAATCACAGAAGAGGCACGTGACAATTTTGGCTTGCAGACCCCCCAGCCACAGCGAGGGGCTTGAGGAGGGGGAGCCAGCAGGAAGCAATAGCTATGGAAGTGGAGAAACAGGGAGACAGTCAAGAGCCATAACAAGTTCCCGCCCACCTTGATGTTACAGTTATTATCCCCCAAATAAGCCATAGCTTGCTTCTGGCTAGCAAGGACACGTTACTTAGGATTTCATCCGATTATTCCCTTCTCATTATGATCCTCATCAGCTAAAGCAATGAGAAGGATCCTTTTTGTGACTGATGTCACTTTTAAAAAAAACAAATGTTTAAAAACCAAACACTGCCCACAGCCCCTCCTCAAGAGCGAGGAACATGATAGACAGACAGACAGACAGACAGACAGACAGACAGACAGACAGACAGACAGACAGACAGACAGACAGACAGACAGACAGACAGACAGACAGACAGACAGACAAACAAACAATTTTTTTAAAAAGGCAACAATAGTGGAATTAAGGGAAGGATTTTCTGGGATAGCCTAGGTATGGGTTAGAACAGGGGTGTCAAACTCGCAACGTCACGTGACATGTCGCGATGTATCGTGACTTTTTTGCCACTGCTGGCAATGGGGTGGGCGTGGTTTCGCTATGATGCATCCGGCCCGTAGTTTGACACCCCTGGGTTAGAATAATTAACACAGTTATTAAGCCCCTCTCCCCTTACTCTTCCTTGAAAATGGATGCCACAGTCTTGAGAGGGCTGGCTGGAGAATTCTGGGAATTGAAGTTCACATATCTTTAAGTGGCCAAGATTGAGAAACACTGATCTAAGAACCGCAAGCCTTGCAGGATGTCCAATCCTCAACTATGGTGTGAAGTATAAATTAGACAGACTACTTAAAGTTCTACAATCTTAGGAATAGTTAAAACACACGTAGTTGAGGGGATGGAGAAGGACTGAAAAATATTCAAATTCAAAAGAAAATAGCATCTTCACAAACAAAGATGATCACTACAACAAAGTGATATGCTTTTCTATTTCTTCTTAAAATAAGTTTTCTTTATAATAATTCAATTTTATGACAGACTCTGACGGAATCAGAGACCAGTCATTGCAGGGTGCAGAAATGATCTTACTGCCTTCACAGTGTTTATTCTCTTATACAGTTTTCCAAGCACCATAAAGTAACATAACAACAGCACAGCAATGGCATTTTTATTGGTAGATTCTCCTTGTCAATCCTTAAGAATATCTCAGCCAGGGGCACCAACCAGGGCAGTTTTCTGCTATATCCTGTTGATGTGAACGAGGTGAGATCATGTGAACCAGGTGAAATCATGTACCAGCCTGGGGTATTTCCCTACATCACCATGGTGATATGAACGGGGTGAGATCATGCATTTGAACCGAGGCAGTTACTGACTCGAGAGGTGCCGGGGCCACCAGATTTTCTGCGATGTCAAAAGCTTCTTGTCCACAGGCACACAAAAGAGTTGCTGCCTTCAGGCCGTCTTCTCTTATCTGATTTACTGTAAAGTAATTCTCCACCCATGCTATGTAGGAATTCCATCTCTCTGGGTGGGAGACATCGAAATCAGTTAAGTGGCCAATCTTCGACATCGTAAAGTTTACAACCTTCACCAATCGTTTCCTCTACAAGCTGATGTTTCGGAAAGGGTCCTGTAGCCGAGCTCACTCCCCAGCGACGCTGTACTGGCGGAATGGGACGCTGATGCAGACGCCATCTTCCCTCGTCAGGACTTCCTGGGTAAGTCCTTCATTTCTTAAGCTTGCAAAGAATCCCACCTTCGTCGCCAGTGTTGTGTTTTTGGTTCGCAAGCAATTGATGAAGACGCATGGTGGAAAACAATAGCTCTTTATTCTCCTTCTCCAACTCCAAGCAAAGAGCAAAAGGCTTGCAGGTCTTTTATAGGGTGAGGAACCCAGATAGTGCTAACCAATCGGAACACAGTGTTTTCGCGCCTTGCGCATGCGCACAAGGCTGGCGCCGCTCTGTCTGGTCCCGGGCAGCTTTTACAATGCCTGGGACCATTTGCAACCTTTCTGGGCCTGCTGAGTTTCCTCAACAGGCCCAGGACAGAACAGCCACGATATGCAGACAGGGTGGCACGCAATTCTTTGGGAAGGAAAGCACAAGGCTCACCAGTACTTCCAGAAACATTACATATTACCATATGTGGTGGGAATGTTCAAAAGCACAAAAAATTTGGCATTTAATAAAACAGTGGTTAGAAGAAATACTGATGCAGAACATTGAGCTAAAACCAGAACTCTTTTTGCTGGGTATCACTAAAGATAGATACAATAAAGGATCCTTATACCTATTATTACACCTGCTAACAGCAGCAAGATTAGTCTTTGCACAGAGATGGAAAGACAGTGAGACACCCTCAGAAGAAGAGGTAATAAATAAGATTTTATCCTGTGCTGAAATGGATAGGTTGACGTTAGAACTTAAGGATAAGAGTGAAACAGATTACTACAAAATCTGGAACAAATTGTATGATTGGTTGGGGAAAAATAGAGGCCAAATTTTTTGTGCTTTTGAACATTCCCACCACATATGGTAATAGGTCCCTAGCGATTCTTTACATTTCCAACATTTCGGTGAGGTCTTTTTGTCCATTTTGGCTAATCTCACAGGGGGAAGGTGCCACCTATAAAACATCTTGTATACATTTTCTTTGTACGCAGTAGCTAGTGTGAGCTTCCTATTCCTTTCCCATAAATCCTGCCAATTATCTAAGTCAATACCATACCCGAAATTTTTACTCCAAATTAACATTGTGTCTTTTACTTGCTCTTCCAACATATCCCATTCCAATAAATATTGATATATCCTTTTTATCTCTTTTTCCTCCGTTCCTAATAAAATTTTATCTAATTCTGTATGCTCTAATTTTATTCCACATTCTTTTTTATCCTTCATATATCGTGATTGAATTTGAAGGTACGCCCACCATTCAAGTTCTATCCCTCCCAGATTGGGAAAAATATTATCAAGCAGCCACGCTTACTTGGGCGAAAGAGTGGATACATCTGAGAAATAGATTATTAGCCTTAGAAGGCCACGATATGCAGACAGGGTGGCACACAATTCTTTGGGAAGGAAAGCACAAGGCTCACCAGTACTTCCAGAAACATTACATCAGACGGGCACTACTAGATGTATGGGTCAGAATTAAAAAACGTAATTACATGAAAATCCTTAATTGGGTATCCACATTGGAGATATTCATACATCCAAATTTTATGAAATCAGGAAAGGCGATCACTTATAAAGACATCTTGGACGAAGGAGGAGAATTAAAATTGAGGAAAAAGTTATTAGAAGAAGGGATAGAACTGGAGTTCACTGGCCACCCTGTCTGCATATCGTGGCCTTCTAAGGCTAATAATCTCCTATTTCTCAGATGTATCCACTCTTTCGCCCAAGTAAGCGTGGCTGCTTGATAATATTTTTCCCAATCTGGGAGGCCGAATCCACCTCTTTCCTTCGATTCCTGTAGAAGTCTGAATTTGATTCTCAGTTTTTTCCCTTGCCAAATAAATTTAGATATAGTTTTATTTAAGTTTCCGAAAAACTCCTTTCCTAATCTAATTGGTATACATTGGAATAAAAAAAAGTAATTTAGGCAGTACGTTCATCTTTATTATTGCGATTCTTCCCATGAAAGAGAGCTACAAATTTTTCCAACTATCTAAATCCATTTTAATTTGATCAACTAATTTATCATAATTATCTCCTTTAAGTGTAGCACATCTCGCCGTCAATTGAATCCCTAGATATCTCACCTTCTTTGTTATCTGAATGTTTTAATTTCTCAACTAGCTCAGTGTTCTGTAGTTTCATCATATTTTTAACTAACATTTTAGTTTTTTCTTTATTGATCTTTAAACCTGCTACTTCTCCGTATTTTCCCAATACTTCCAACAACCTTACAGCGGACTTCAAGGGCTCTTCCATGATAAAAACCAGGGCTTTTTTTCAGCCGGAACGCGGCGGAACCGCGTTCCGGCACCTTTTTCCGGGCCGGCCGCACCGGAAATAGCCCCTCCCACACCGGAAATAGCCCCTCCCAAATTTTACTTGCATTCCTGTTCTCTAAAGGGGCGGTCCTAGGGTTTGATGAGGGCGTGGCCAGGTTTGAGTTCCGCCACCTTTTCTC